ATTAAATTAGGATAATATAACGTTGTAATATTTACAGGTCAAATTAAATCGACAAATTTCGACAAATAAACGGATCTGTGGTACTTACAAAATTGAAAAACATAGTAGTTTGTAAGAGACTTTTACTATCTTGACATGGCAACGGCAATAAATGAGAACGTTTGCGTTTATTCGTCTGAAAAACAATAGAGATAAACCCGGCAGAGTAAGAGAACGCTCTCCATCGTCATGGAATAGGATATATATGCATCTGCATGTGCGCGATGCATATGTGCACGTAACGCATGTGCGTCACTCGTTGCGTGCGCGCCGATATCACACACCGACACACGCGTCGCGACATAGAAACATTGAAAAAGCCGTATGGCAAATATTTTTGCCACAAAACGCGCCAGCAGCCCGCGACATTTTCCGGTACACGTTGCACGGTAAATTTCACCGGGAAATTTACCGGATGCGAGTAGCGTTTCGAGCGAGGTTTCATCTCGTGTACAGGACCGTGAGGAAATATCAGCCGTTAACATTGGCCGATGTATTAGTGCTGGCAATATCGCGATAAGAAGTAAAAAGTATTATTTTTCAGATATCTAATTTACGATCGAGACATTTTGGTAATAACGGTCGCAATAAATACGATATCGGAAGTGCTGTGCTAACAAGTATCGTAATAACTTGTTGCAAGAATTAGAAATGAAAGATGAATTAGAAAGATTATTAAATAACTGATATGACTAATATCGTATTAATATACGAACAATTGCAATATTAATTTTTTGCACAATAAATTTATATACTTTATTACTTAATTATCGCCATTTCAGGAACTTATTTGAATAATGTTATAAGCAAAACGCATATATTGATAATTTAACGTTTATCTAATTTTTAATCGACCATATTAAGATAACAATATTGTTTTCTTACTTATTGTTAGCTCGTACAAGATAATCAATATTTATCTTTTATCTAAGTTTTAATGAAATATAAACGTTTCCTTATCTTATACCGGTAACTTTTCTTGTTAAAGAAAGAATTTAATCTATTTTATTATTTGTTCTAAATATATATATTAAGTTTATTCACGAAATAATAATGGAATTGGATACAAACGGAAGATATACACGGATTCATAATTTTAAATTAATTCCAGCTCATATTACGCAGTTTGCATGTAAAATCGCGAAGGGCTCTTCATGGTAAACCCTCGTTGTAAAGTGCGCGTTTCACTCTGTAATTTCTGCCCCGAGCGCGGGTGCGTGCACGCTTATATTTGCCGTTTAACTCGGTTAGGCTTCAGTTAGACCTGTGCACCGGAATACAATAGGCTTCAGGAATAATTACGAAATTGCGAGAATTATTACTCAAGAGATCCTATTCTTCGACATTACATCATACCAGCGCTTAGAGAGCTATTAAAACTCGACATCACAATGGCCCATTCATTTGGCTCACCGACCACTTGTAAATTCATTGTATATGTGCATATAAATGCAAACGCAATTATGATAAAAATTATATTGCAAATTATAATGCTAAGATATCTTATTATTATAAATATTTAAAATTAAAATTATAAATATTTCAAAGAGAAAATCCAAGAGATAATATAATATAGTTATATTATTATTTTATTATTATATTAAATTAAAATCATTTCAATAATTTACGTAATGATGATTTGTAAGTACTTAAGATGTATAAAATGTTCCTAGTTTTATTAAAATGGGTAAAAAATTTTGTTCAATAATTATCAGGAGATATATAATTTATTATCAAATATATTATATAAATTGGAGTTATAATATATCAGGTCTACCGGAAAGTTCTGTCCGTTTTTGGAATAAAACAAAATACAAATTTTCTGATAAATTCGGTCTCGTACCTTTGTAAGATTTCACGTCGTTATATTTCTTATCATCGAAGATACTTCATTATGCGTTTGACACTCTACAAAATGTTTTTCATCGACCGTGTTTATTACGATAGAATAAATTTTATTAACAATCGATATAATTTTTATAATTTATGACACAATCAAATTATTTTGTCCAATTTTATTTTAATTTTTTATTTCTATTTTTTTGATAAAATTAGTCATTAATATTTTTCGAAATATACATTCGTCTTGTTTGACATTTGCTCGTAAAAAAGTGATACGATTAATCGCGAGATTAATCATCGTATAGTTAAGGATCTCGGTATTAATATGAGCAATAAAGATGAGTCATCATCAATGTTTCCAAGATTCTCTTCCGCCTTATTCTTGTTTCAATCTTGAGGTCGACATTTAGTTTTCGAAGGAACAAACGGGCAAACGCGAACTACAAGTAACGTCACCTCCATTAATCTTCCTCCTGCTCGGATTAGATTTAACCTAAGGGATTCTCACGATCTTGTCTCGACCGAAATTACGATCGCGACCTCTTCGTGACTCTGCATCATGAAAGCTGATTCATCTCGAAGGGGAACAATCCGGAATAATTGAAAATAGAACACATAAAATATTTAATAAATCAAATAATTTATGTACCAACTCTATGGAATCTATTATTACATTAAATCTATATTGAAATAGTACTTGTTGGTAACAGCAACCAAGATTGTATAATGATTAATTAATTACGTAATACTTCTTTTTCCTTTCTCTCGAGGCGAAACGTGATTATGCGTTTGCGCCAATTGCAGAGCAATGCTATTGACGCGCATGTTTCGAGCCGCGAGCTTGAAGATAGGCAACGAACAATAATCCGACAAAGAATAATGGATAGCAATGAGGTATTGTCCCGTGTCGCTTTCAACGAGTCCAATTAAAGCGCGTCCTTCCGTCGGCTTAAAGTCAGAGACGCGGTGGAGTTTTTTCACCGGCAACGAGTGGGATGGAGAATTGTGTAACCCTAGGTTTCAATAATAAAAGTCTCGTTACGTTTTGCGTTTACGCTCGCTATAAATTATCACGTTTCCCGTCCGAATGTTTTTTTTTGTCCGATAGCGATTGCGCGTCGCGGAATAATTAAAGCATAACGAATTGACAATGTGGTAAAATTCGTATTGATTTTCCCGCGACCTTTTCTGTTCCCAACAATATATCATATTTACCGATATTATATTAGGTCTACCGGAAAGTTCTGTCCGTTTTTGGAATAAAACAAAATACAAATTTTTATTACCGTCAATAAACTTTATTAAATAATGTAATTGCCATTATTATTAATGATTTCTTGCCAGCGTGAGGGCAATTTGTATATCCCTTTTTCGAAAAATGTTTTATCTTTTGATGCGAAAAATTGAACCAGTGCTTGTTTGATATCTTCTTCATTTTTGAATTTTTTGCCCCTCAAAAAATTTTGTAAGGACAAAAACAAGTGATAGTCGGAGGGTGCTAAGTCCGGGGAATATGGTGGATGCGACAGAATTTTCCAGCCTAGTTCTGCAATTTTTTGACGAGTATCCAAAGCAGCATGTGGCCTGGCATTATCATGATGCGGTATGATGTTCTTCCTATTGAACATCGGCGGCCTCTTTTCTTGGACTGCTGTATTTAAATTATCCAGTTGCTGACAATACTTCTCCGAATAATGGCAATTACATTATTTAATAAAGTTTATTGACGGTAATAAAAATTTGTATTTTGTTTTATTCCAAAAACGGACAGAACTTTCCGGTAGACCTAATATTTCAATATTAAATGTACTATAATTTCAGTTTTGCTGATGTGTGTCAATTAAATAGCTAAACTATATTATTACTATCTTTTATTTTGTGGAAAAGCTTAGTTTTTTATTTATAATAAAATTAGTCTATTACCTAATAAAAATATTTTATTTGTTATTTATTTAATTTGATTAAAATAATTTGGCAAAAATTTTATAATAATAATTTTTTTTACAATTATGGAGTTATTGCGTAAGAAGATATACACATTTTTTCCTCTCGAACTCTTTCATTTTATTTCATGCTCTATTAAACTCAACTTCCGACATAATGTAACGATCATTTCACGTACATATCGCATGTATACTTTGTCAAGCCCGCCTGTGGAATAATTTCTGCAGTTGCCGTGGGGATAAGACAAGCAGGAAAGAGATGAAATTTCATCGTAGAAGCGATAGTCATTCTGATGTCATGGGACACTCAATAAAGCGCGATCGTAAATAAAGTAGTGTGCACCTACCATGTTATTCGCACGAGGGATGCCCTATAGGCATGGCGTTAAACGTTACCAATCCTACGAATGCACGGGTAGATTGCAGTTTTGCGATTGTATATGCGAGCACGCAAATAGCGTTGCAACAGGTGTAACTGACAGAACGACTTCTGCGTGATTTTGCCTCTTGCATTAGTTAACGTTGATAATATAAGTTAAACAATATTCCTATGATTTTGTACATAGACTGCCTTATGTTCGGTGCGGCATTCGTGCTCGATCACTATTTGACAAGTGGTTACAGTTTCACAAACCTGCGATTGTTTATGTTGGGTTGGAGTTATACTTGCCAAATTGATTCTTCCTCAAATAATTTTTAATACGAGAAATGTCGACCAACTAGAGATTAACGCGATTATATTTAATACTTTTGAGTGTTTAAAATTTCTGCTAATTTGATTCATTTTTTAATATAATTTTTGTAGTTATGTGTCGTCAACCATTAATTAATAACGTTCTTGATATATCTAATCTATACATCTAACACAATGATAGATGTCTTAAACATTTATTGTATTTATGTAACATAATTTCATGAAGTACAAATTCAAAAAGCTCTTAATAAGTATCTATATGTATTATATAAATACATACAAAAATTTGTAATTAATTGTAAGTATGTTTTTAATCAAACATTGAAAATAATCAAATTATTTCTATTTGTAAATTAATCGTTGACTATAAATACCGTTTCAAATGATATATGTAGTAAAAAATTTTCTAATATTTTAAATTTTATAAAATTTGATCGGGTATCATATTTTGAAAGGCAGATATTGACAGCATTGTACCAAAATAAATTTAAGAAAATTGATTTTTATTAGAATTCATATAATAAACAAAAAAGTGCACCTTCTCTTCGTCGCAAATAACTGAAAAATATATAAAGTATGCAGGGTGAACATATTATGATGCCAATTTTATGATGTTCTTTCCTCTTTCTAGCTAAAAATCCGTTTCGCGCAATATCTATTCTAAACGAAATTAAGACATCCGCTTGTAATACATCTATTCATGCTAATTTATACATTAAGAGATATATCTCTAATATATGTACATAAATGATCAACTATGTACTTGGTGCATCAAGGGCAATGTCTGGAACGAAGCGGCGCTGATAGCCGAGCTTGCATGGTCGATCGTGAAAGCGCACATATGGGCGCTATATATATATATATATATATATATATATAGCAAATATATATACAGTTTAATATATGACACATCCATCGAGCGGGTTAGAGCATGTGCTCGTTCACGAAGGCGCCCCGCTAACAAGCAACGTCGCCGACCGGGGGTTGCTATGTCCGCCTGATGAGGCAAACGATTGACCCGAGCAACGCGACGATATATTGCTGCAGGTGTAACCGAGAATTTTGCCCCCGAATCTGCTACAGTTGCAAGCACGAAGCGTCTTCAAAGGGACAACGAGGTCCCGCTAAACAGCACAGACAGATCTGTACCCGAGCGGAATTTCAATTTTGATCGGTGAGAGAAATAGTTTGGCCGGCGATTCTGGGAAAAATCGAATACTCGCGGCACATCCTCGTGAACGATACTGTTGCTGTCACGAATTCGCGGCAGGTCTGTTCTCTATAGCTACATTTTTTCGCGCTTCCTATATTGAATGAGACTTTGCCGCAGTAATACTTAGAAGTAAAATAAAAAAAATATATAATAATAATATGACATGTCTGTAGAAAAAAATGTATACAGAAAATATGAAGCTTGATCTCAATTACAACATTGCTTATTTATCTTAATTATACTTATTCTTAACTTATCTTAATTATAACATTCAGTGTATGCATGATATTCCTAAAAGAAGATTTTATACTTTTGAGCGATTCTATTGCATATTTTATAATTTATCTCTGTTTGTCCTTTTACGAAAATTAAATCTATTGGCATTACGTGCATTATTAGAAATTGAGACTGCATAATTATGATCTAATACATAAATCCTCATGGTAACGTATTTTAATGGGTGAAATGAAACATATGGAGACAATGTCATAGACAACATTGTTTTTATACTAAATACGTAACTAGTTGTTATTGCTGATAAATTTACAAACGGTCAATTTTAATTGTCGCGATAATAGAGAATCTTTTATTAATGTAGATTTATTCGATCTCAAATAAAGTAAAAATCTCGGCAAAATAAAGATGTTTCTTCTTTATTTTTCTACCCATATAAATTTTTACCGCAAGGAGAATGCAAAGAAAGCGATGATAATGCTTTGGAGTCTGTTTTTCGAGATAAATTTTGACAAGCTTTCACAAAAATGACAGATCATATAGATATTTAAATATTACAATATTAGCTTTTGTAAAATGCTGCTTATAATTATAATAGGAAAATTGTTAAGTTGTTCGGTAATACCTGAGATGACAAGTCCTCAACTTCATTGTCTTTTTCATTTTGCGTAGATCATTATATATATATAAATTCAATTATTGTTTTTCTGTTGTAATTGTAAAATCTCCATTTTCAGTTTTTGAGCCTGACCGACCACTTCGTTACATGATTCACTAAGAGAAAATAAAATCTTCTTTAATTCTAAGTATATTTTTTCAATGTCGACTGAACCCTTCTTTATATCAGGTATAAGAATTTTTATTGTTTCAAACAAATTTTTTTGAATCCGCAAAGATTTCAACATCTGACAATATCTATCGTTTATAATCAATAGCATATTAGAAGATAATTTAGAATTAAGCTCCTTTAGTATATAGTCAATTCCTTGTAAATTCTTATTCGCCCATATTTCTATGCCTGAAATAGATAGCATACTCATATTCGGTCTTTTACGCGATGAATCAAATGTCAACATGTCGGTCGAGACACTATCGCAAAAATATATGTAGTTTAGAAACTGTAACATAAATGTACGTATATTCAAATATGACATGTAAGAAAGACAGAGATAGTAAACACAACCAAGACGCGAGTGTTGAAGGCAATATATAATTTTAAACACAATTTCAAGACCGTTACCTGAAGAACAGCATCCAATTGAAAATCCTCTATTTATTTAATTTCCAGTTTTAATTTCTAGAAATAAATTTCTTCGAGTTCAACGGTTTAGGTCTATAAACTATTAAAAATATTTTTGATGGTGACAAGATAATCAGGAGGCAACAAGATCGATTATATGATATGAATAAAACACTTTACCTGCATTTAATTGTGATTTATGTATGCAGTCAAGAGAGTCAAATATTCGAACTGCTTATTTCTATCAGTAGAAATAATTCACTTTGTCTTAAAAGAACCACAGCAAAGCTAAAATAAATGTTCCGCGAAAATTATAAGAATGAAAGAACTCGTGAGAAACACGTCTGTGCTCGCATATCTCGTTTTCACGTCTGGGAGCATACTAACCTTTTGGGATGTACGGAAATATACAAAGTCTGTTATTGTTCTATGTTTACGATGAAGTTATTATGAAAGTCAAGTCGTCAGTGTTATTAAGTTGTATATCATCTCTATCATCTCTCTTTTCACAGCGTTCATATAAGAAATTCGATATAACTCTACTTTTTATTAAAACCTCTATTTTCTTATATATATCTATTTTTATTGCAATATATTTAATAATATCTTCTTATATATAGTATTCACACAGCACATTCATTAATCTTTATCTTATTTAGTATATATTTTGATATTGTTATTACGTAATAGATAATTCGCTCATAATAAATAGCCAGTTTTCTATTGTTACGTAATTAATTGTTATTGCATTTATAGCGACATCGATATAACCACTTCCCAAAATAAATATAATACCTGCGAGCTTACACATTTAAAAAAAAATCCAAGTCACAATTTTGAAACTTATACAAATTTGCAACTCTTTATTACATAATAATTTTTTATTTTAATAAATAAATAATTGTAATAAAATTTAATAAATATATATTTTATATGTAAAGAAAATATTTTTATAAGTTTGTTTTATGTTCAAATACTACGTATTTGAAAATACCGCTTTTGTCTCTAGAATAGTTCTGCGCTTAAAAGAATTTGCGCTATTTCTTCGGCGGTGGTTACTTTTAACCGTGGACAGCTACGTTGTGCGTCAAGAATTCCTTGCGAGATTGCACACATCCGTAAATGCTGAATCGAGCATTTCGGAAAACGATAGGAAATATTTTTGCGAAAGAAAGAGAAAGTATATGAATGTACAAGAAATAAATCAAATAAATAGCGGGAATAAATCGAATGCCAATAGCGTATATTTACGGCAGCAATAAGTCGCGATACATTCGTTTGTTCTATTTTGTCAATGCAATTCATTATACAATAACTTTGATCTTATTTGAAAGATAATTTAATTCTCTATAACTTTTGTTTCGGTACTTTTTGTTAAAAGACGCATACTTTCCCTGATATTTGTAAAAATGTAAAAAATAACCGTGATTTCAGAGGTTTTTGGGCGCTAACTTTTTAAGGAAGCATTTTT